ATGCATGAAGAGTTACCTTCTTCAAGAAGTTTCACAATACTCTCTTTTGTTTCAAGAGACATTTCTCTTAGCCTGGCCCTTACCTTCCTACGCAGCTCCGCTCAATTCTAGTTTCCCTTCACTGCTCCGTCTGGGACTTCTCCCATTGACAAGGATTTCGCTGGCAGATTTTTAGCCGGGCCAATCAGAGAACAGAACGTCGACTTTCTGCGCAGTGTCTGCTAGTTATTTTAGCATACGGCAGTGGAGGAAGTGAATGAAGCCAGTCTGTGTTGATAAGGCTTCCAAATTAAAATAAAATTGTCTGACAAAGCAGCAGCTCTCATTTACAGTCGTCTCGTTCAGCTCGGTACTTCTCTCCTCTCAGTAGAGTTGTTTACAGCGCTCGCGATTTCCGGTTATCTTCTTAGCTCATCCTCCGTCACAGCGACATACATCACAGCCAACTGATCCAATCATTTTAAACTTCAGCAGAGGCCACCCTTCCTGCAAGAAATGCTTCTCTTTGCAGCAAGTCCAGACCCTTGTACGAAGCAAAGTGAAGGACAGGGTCTGGTTTAAACCAGGCTAGCCATGTTAGCCTTTTTCTTCTGTTATGATAAATAAGTTTCTTTTCAGTTCACCTATGTTTTGTGCTGCTCCCTGGTGCTTTTAGCCATCAAACTAATTTAAACAAAGTGGTGTTATTTTCGCTAAATGCTGGATGAATTTAAATGTGGACAAACTGCATCAGCATAGAGACGGTGTTTGATTTACAGAGCAGTTTGAGGCACACATCTCCCTTTGTGAAAGCTTTATGAACTAGCTGGATATGTAAAAAAACTATTAAGCTACTGATAGAACTCACAGACACCACAAGCCCTTTGGTGAATCAGGACCTCTGGGTTTTAAAATTTGTTGTTTGAAATCAATAAGTATAATTAATGGATGTGTTTTTGTGTCATTGGTTAAAACAGGGATTTTATCACAGGAAACTCACCTCCAGCCAAATCATATTCACTGTAAACAATTTGTACCTTCTCATCAAAGCAGAACATGAAAGACTGTAAACACAGAGACAGCAGCTCCTTTTTTCAATCTGTAAATAGATAGATGTGCGCAGCTCACCTTCACCCACATCCCACAGTGTGTTGTGGTCTTAAAGTCAACTGATGGCGTCTGATGCTGCACAAAGTTCTAAAAGTCACTTTACTCCATCTTTTCTGTTTTGCCAGCTTTTAAGTTATAAATACAGCGGGTAAAGTAAGTATTGAACACGTCACCATTTTTCTCAGTAAATATATTACTAGAGGTGCTAATGACATGAAATTTTCACCAGA